GGGCTGCTCAGTTAGTGAATGGTCAGAGAAACGGATAGAAAATCTAGCCTCTGAGGGAGGAAAGCGAAAGGGGTCCATCATAGAAGGCATATTTATGCTGCCTCTAGCTCTTTGGAGGATGGGCGAGATAACAATAGAGTGTTTTTTCCAAAGTCTTCTCTGCAAGGATTTCCCCACTGCAAAACTGGAAAAATCAACATTCCAGGATCCAAGTACTTTGGGAAATGTAATTCTTCAAAATGACTGAGTTATTAATATGGATAACAGGTGACATGGGAACAATATTTCCAAGAATCTATTGTGTTTAGGATGCAGCAATTTTAGCACAGAGAGACCTTCCCAATGCTGTAACCATTTCCAGGTAAATTGCAGACTGAACTGACAGAATAGATGTGTGGGGGGGATTGCTTGCATGGAGGATGCTTGGCAGTGCAGCCAGCCTGGAGAGTCTTCACTTGGCCTGAGTTTTCTCAGCCAAGATGGGGTTCTCCTAGCCTCCCAGCAAAAGACACTGTTTAAGCCAAGCCTGGCTTCATGAGGGCACTGCTTGTGGAGGTTCAGATGTCGTTTTGGAGTGTCTCTCTCTCGGAAAAGACCACCCTGGGTTCAGGGCTGAGGAGGCTGGCTACAATCACCCATTTCTTCCCTATCTTCAGGAGAGTTTCTGCTTATATCTTTGATAATCCAATTCACAGCTGGCATGGTTCATATGAGCATATATCCAGAGAATGCCAGCATTGGATAAATTAACAAAAACGAATTGTTTGGACCACTGACCCTTAAATTCCTTATTTCCCAAATATTATTCATGTATATGTCCTATCATTCACCAAAGGATATATGAGGCTTGTTGATGCATTAACTTCCCCCACACACACTGTTAAGTGTACATGCCCCATTTAATACACAGTTTGGCAATGATCTGTAGTACTTCTAGATATTATAATAAAGTACCATTTATTTGCAACTCTATTTCTCTAGTACCACATGAATATTCATGTAATATTTTTCCTATTTTCTCTAATTTATTTCCTTTCTAAAATAGCAAGATCATTTTGATGTGGATATTTTTAGTGTATTCTCCCCTCCCCAAATGTCATCTCAATCTTTTAATAGGCTCTCTTTTCCATTATCTATCTCTGTTTTATCCAGTAATCTCTTGAGCAAAGTGATTTCTATATTTGTAATTTGTATACAGTATTTAACATATTAAACATAATTAATTAAGGGCAAATTACCTTGTAGAGATGTTTGCTGTAGATATGTATATGATGCTATAAACATCAAGGTCACAGTGAGTAAAGTAGAAGGCAATACCAGTTGTGAGATGGGCAAAAGTCCTACCTCAGCTGTCAAATTTGGAGTAAAATTTTATGGTAGGAAATTTGCCTCATGGGGCCTATTTGTATAGTATAGACAAGGAATATATATACCTCTAGCTTTGGTGCCACATATGTGCACTACAAATTAGCTCCTAGAATAGTTGTTATGGGCTATACCATCTTGAACAATTTGGTACCACCTCACAGCAAGTACTCCTGGATATGTACTTGTAGATTACATGGCTGGTGTCATCTTGTGTTTCCTTATCCCAAACTGTGCATTGTCACACATTGGTTTAAAATTTCACCATCATATTTTATGTTATCTACCACTTTAGGCTTGAAGGATCCTTCTTTTTTTCTGACAGTGGGGAGTGGGACAACACTACTCTTTACAGTATAGAAAAATGCTGTTGCCTCAGAAAGCACTGGAAAAAATGATATTGTGAGGCAGCATTAGTCTGGCTGTCCCACACTCACACTGGAGAGGGATGATGGCTCAATGATAGAGCATCTGCTCGGCATGCAGAAGGTCTCTGATTCAATTCCTGGAATCTTCATTTAAAAGATCTAGCAGTAGGTGATGCCAGTCTGAGGAGACAATACTGACCTTCATGGACTGATGCTGTGATTCTTGATGTGTTTAAGTGTTCGTTTAAGTCCTTTGTTCTGGTAACTAATAGACAAAACACATAGATATCTCTTGACTGTCACATGAAGTGTACTTTCAGTTTTAATCCAGAAAAAATGAAAGTTTGGAAATTCCATTGCCATTGGAGAACAACCAGATCATATTGGTTTACTGGTTTGGACAGAGTCCATTGATAGTATTCTGTTGGGGTGGAGTTAAAGTGAAATGTCAGGCATGTCTTTTCAGGGAAAACATGAACTATCACTATATCTAATAGCCAAGTTGCCCCCTCCGTGCGGATCGCTATATCTGCACTTTGGGGGCACTTGGGGGGCAGGGGGAAATTTCGGGGGGATGTTTAAATCCCCCCGAAAGTGCAAGAGCGTCTCCTGCGCGTGCGCAGGAGACGCTCTGCGACCTACCGGGCTTGCGTGGCGGCGGCAGGCAGGCAGGCAGGCAGGGAGGGGAAGGACCGGCCTCGCCGCCGCCGCCTTCTGGGAGCCAGTGGGCGGCTGGGCGGCCGAAGACCGGCCTCGCCGCCGCCTCCTCCTCCTCTTTGGAGCCGGCTGGCCTGCCGGCTGGGCAGGCAAGCGCGCGGGCGAAGGGGGAGGGCGGTGAA